GCATACAGTTTTCTTCGCAGTTTTTTTCAGTAATCTTGACTATTGCATCAGTTTAACTTATGTTGAGGAGCAAAGTGTGCTTTAAAGCAAATGAAGTTCATCTGTCCATCAGGATTAGTAGCTGCAGCAACAGCGGACTGTCCTGTGGGTGGTGGTAATGCTACGTCAATGAAGGCTCAAGCTAAACAACCTTTCTGACATGGCTGACTGATACATAGAAATATTTTCTGAGTACCTAAGTCAGACAAATAAAACAGGCTGTTTCTATAGCTGTGCACAAGGTCTTTGTATTTTTTCCTAGGGCGTGTATTCATTAGGTGAAATATAGTACGTGTGTATATATTTTGTCTTGAAGGTAAGTTTCTCTGGCAGTTCCAATGCATTGTAGGTCTATACTTATACTTGGATCATTATAAAAACACTGGTGTGTGTTAGGCGCATAATGGTGAAGGAAAAATATATTAAAATATAATTATAAAATTCAAGTTAACTTATGCATATTTTCAGTGAACATTTTGCCACCTTTCACTTTATGGAAAAACATTTGAAATTATGCCAGAAAATGTAACCAGATAAGGATAATAGCTTGTTACATTAACATGTAGCATGAAAATCCATATAAGAATTAACAGCTATATATGCTGATGTGCATTATAGTAAAAAATAATGAGATTAGTATTAAAATGCAAAAAGATACTCACATTAGTAAAGAAAAAATTAATTTCATAAAAGTCTTAATAAATAATAGGGCCTATAATGCAATTAATCTTATTAGGGAGGAAAACTCTTCTAAAGGACTCACAGGTAATAAAATGACTTTCCACTTTTCAGGAATGCTTGATGGTCCACTGGGTTTCTATTGCCTGTATTCGTCTTCCTGTTTTAAAATTATTTTAGAATATGAAATCATCTCATTTGAAAGTTTTCATTGCTTTTTGTGATCGTTTTAATTCATTCCCCATGGTGTTTGGCTGTACTTCATCACTGGAAATTCAAGAATTTCATAGGGAAGTGGAAAGGTGTGGCTTTTTTTAAGTAATGCAGCTTTGTTTCATTAAAAAAGGATAAAGTCATAGAAATGAATAGTTATTTTCAGTGTCCAGATTCAGAAATCTTGGGTTTTTTTCAGCAGGCGTATGGCTTAAATTGGCCACCCAAAATCAAAGGATGTGAAATTATTAATTCTGAAAATCTTGGCCTGTCTTTAGTTGAAAGGCTTTGGGGTTTATTTTTTTAAATTAGAAGCCTGATTTTGATTCTACTTCCTTTTCTCTAATATATTGTCTTGTAACAGTACTTGGCGTGACATATTGTGAAACGGGGCAAGATTCTAAGCAATAGAAAAGATTTTTTCACTTTTGAGTGCTGAATTTTTTAGGAGCTGTACCTCAAAAAAAGTAATTTGCTACTAAAAAATGTAAAAGAAATTGTTGTTTCCAAAATTAGTGGTGGTGTTTACTGTAATTCAACATAATAAACATTCTCATTAGATTTTTCTTCTTTTATATGTGATTAGAACATTTTTCATTTTTTGATTTGAGGGTGACTCTGAGAATAAACGTCTTCTGAGATGAGGTAGTTTTGCTTTTGTTAGTTTTGTTACTGTTTCTGTTGGTTCCAGTGATACCTTTCTTTAAAGCTTTATCTCACTGAACATAAACTGGCTCTCCAATTTTTATTAGAATCACCAGCATTCTTTTTCTCTCTGTAGTGCCATTTTAAAAAGATGTTTCAGTAGGAATATGTACTTACAGTAATATTTAATGCTCTGTATATCTCGGAAATTCACATGCTCTTTATTTGATGATCAGAATTCCACTTGCACATTGCAAATCGGTGTTTACTGAGTTGCTGTACATGCTAACACTTTCTAGAAAACACTCATAAATCTCTAAGCTGTTGCTGTTATTGTAATCAATTCTCTTTTTGCTATCTTTAATTTTGTGCACTTTTTTCAGTCTTAATAAAAATACTCTTACAGATGAAGGATTTACTTGAAACCTTACTATCCCTTTGACAGGGTTATGTGCTATATATAGCTGTAATTGCATTGAAAAGAGTTAAAAGAACATTAAGTTTACAAAATGAAGCTCTCAAACTGAGGGAATTCCAGAGCTTTGTTTGTTTCTCCAGTCCTAATTAGCTTCTTTGTGCACATATATTATGACAAATCTTTGTTTTCCTCGTGACTGTCTCCTCATAGAATGGACCAGTTGCAGTGTGCTTGCTGGAGATGCATACTTTCTGTATTTTATTTTATTGTTCCAGTTCAGTATGTGGTCCGAATCTGCACATTGTTCAGTGGTGGTGTGAAGATGAAATTGTTCTATAACAATCATCAGTAGTATTTCAGTGTTCAAAATAGCAACAGAACCGTCTTAGCAGTGAATTGGGTGCTTCCTGTTGATCAAGCTTTTGAGGTCTGTTGATATTAAAAATATGTGTGTGTATGTAAGTATTTTAAAAATATTGTGCTTATATATATAAAAACATGATTCTCTGATTTGGCTTTGAAGACTGAAAGTTGTCTGCCAGAGAAGAAAGGTTTGTTTACAGAATCACAGTGTGGATTCTTTACAGTTTCATAGAACATTCATGGTGCTCTGGGCTTGTATATGCTCTGTTCAAGGGCTCTGGGCTTGTACATGCTAAACCTTTAACACAATTACTTGCATGAATTATTGTAAAAGTGGGAATTATTATTTGGTACCATGGTCACTGAGATTTCATGAATAAATAACTGCAAGCCTTTTACATTTATGGATTTCAAGTCTCATGTGACCTTCTCAGTTGGGGAAACTTTAGGTAATGCCATAGATACCTGTATCATTTGAAAGGTTTATTGCCCAACTTTTGTTGCTTTTTGACATCAAAGGTACAGAGTGATAGTTGTATCCTGCATGTGAATTAAAGTTTCCAGACAGAATGACAATTATGAGGATTGACCTGAGTATTACAAGCATTAGGTAATTTCAAGACTTCCATCTTTTAAACTGCTTTAGGAAAGCTTGAGTTTGTTTCAGAATACCTACCTAATACATTAGAATGACAATAATTTTGGTTCAGACATGAGAAGGTGGATGTCAATATTGTATATCCTTAAAATTACTCCTTTCGTTGAAATACATATTTCGTTTGAAGACATTTTGGACTATTCAGGAGATGATCTACTTCAGACGTATTTTGATGAGAGTTGTGGCTTTATTAGCATTGTTGTCTCTTATCTAACCAGTAGATTACAGTAACACAGACCAGTTTCCCAACAGGTGACTCTAGGTTTGCCAGTTTATGAAAAGGACTTAATTCCCCTAACTTTAATTTAGAAGTTGAATAAGAATTCTTATGTGGAATTGAATGTGTTGGGCTTACATATTTTCATTTTCTGCATTAACTTAGTTGTACTTGCTATGTTTATTTTATTGGACGGATAGAACCGTGTATTGTACAAGCTGAGCTGGTGCCAACAGAACATTTCCAATAAGTTGTTTAATCACTGAACAAGGCTGCTTTCCAACTGGGCAACGTGCCCATTGCTGGTGTGCAGCACTGGGTTAGAACAACTTAACAATTATACTTGTTGTGTTTAAAAAGCATCCTGACTCAAATCAGCTGTAACTGTCAGACAAGGTAGTTAAGTACGACAATAATTTTTTAACATCATCAAAAAAGGACTTTCCTTTCTTTTCTTGGTCTCTGGAGGCCTTCAGGACTTTTTCACACTAATAGAAGTTTGTTTAGCACCAAGGAAAATTAGCTGTCTTTGCAATTTTCCCAGCACCAGTTGGCTTACATTGCAAAAAGCACAGCTCAGTGTGAATCTACATTTTTTTGGAAGAACTCAAAGCACTGACTAGCCATATGCCACATAATTTGAACATATATATCGCAAAGAGATATGTTCTTGATCATACTTTTGTTATGAGTTCTGAAGAAAATATTAAAGCAGAGTTGTTTGTGATCTGTTCTAAAAGTATTTCTGAAATACAGAAGAAACATTCTTCCCTCTCTGTGTGGATAACATACCAGATAGGAAGCTAGTATATCATTCTGCTTTCTAAACAGTAAATTAAAGAGCTGTCTCTACTACTTGCATGATGTTTTGGGAAAATTTTGCGACCAAAGAATATGTCTTTTATTCCAAAATCCAAACTCCAGATATAATTATGGAGAAAAGGGCTGAGGAAGCAAAGCTACCCTGTTTTGTTTTGATTGGACTAAAAGTTTAGACTTAAGTTCTCTGTGGTCAGGAGGCTGAGATTAAAGGGTCTGTAATTAGATTCAATACTCTATGTGTCTTAATGCCCAGAAAGACCAAACCCTGTCTGCAGGCAATGGCAGTTGCCAGGATCATCAAAAATAATTCATAGATGCAAGTGAAAAGGAAATTGTGCGCACTTTCCGAAATACTTTGTTCTTAATTGCTCTGTCTTGTTTCTGTAAAAAGAAAGGATAGGAAATCCCTCAAAATATCTAGTAAACAAGTAGAACTTGAGGTTGAAAGGAATAGTTTTACTTCTGGAAACGGATTGCCTAGATCTTGTAGGTAGTCCTCTATATTCAAGTCATGTTTCATTGTTTTTTTCCTTTTGATCCTCCTATTTTCCTTACATTAGATATAGTGCTACCCAAAGCAAAATAGGCTATTAGATGTCTGCATTTTTTATATATACACATGCGTACAAACTGAGAGAGATTTTCTGCCACATAGTCACCAGAGGCCAGATGCATCTTTTGATTAATAGCTTATAACAAATAATAATAAAGGTTTTTGTTTCAGAAATTTCCACATTTAGGTTAATAGTAATGAGCAAAACAAAGTGTTCATTTGGCTGAATTAACAGTGGAGGGTAATGCTTGATGATGAGTTTGGTGTTGGGAACCTTCTGTAAACGAAGTGGTAGTACTTGAGGGTTCCACTCTTCCCCAGTCCAGCTCACCAGCGCTGGGGCTGACGGGGAGCTTGCTCTGGACCGCGCTCTGAGTGCTCTTCTCTTTTACAGGCAAGTTAAAGATCAAAATAAGAAAGTAGCAAATCTGAAGCACAAAGAGCAAGTGGAGAAAAAGAAGAGTGCACAGATGCTGGAGGAGGCCAGGAGACGAGAAGATAATCTTAATGACAGCTCCCAACAGCTTCAGGTAACATGGGAATTGAGTTAAATGTGTCAGCCAGGCTTAGCTACCTCACTCTCTGCTGTACCTCCTGATCCATTTACATAGCTGTTACCTAACAAAGAAATTTGTTACTGACTGTTTAAAAGGACACATCTATCTCAGAGCACTTCAAAGAAAGCAGCCTCTCTCAGTTGCCTTCATAGCTTACCCCATTTTCATAAAAGGGAAAAATAATTTTAACTGTCAACTCGGTTATGAAGTGAAGTGCATCACTGAAATAATTTTATCATTTTGGCATTGAGATTGGTGTGGCATTTCTTTCTTCGCTGCTCTTCTAACAGCCTTTTTCTTCAGCTGTTTTATGTATTTTCCCAGCTGGTTTTACCTTATATTGGTGCCGTTTCTTCAGTAAATGAAAGATAACCAAGTAAGTATTCTTACAGTAAATTATATTTATTGTGGGGTAACTGGAGGACCATATTTTCTGTGTTTATTCATCGTTGTTTGACAGTGAAACCCTACTCTATCTCATGAATTCTTGGTATCCTTACTACTCAGTTTGCTTTATTTCTGAAATGATAACATGCTGCTGCCCCACAGAATTATCTGATTGCCTCAAATCTACCTAGGCATATGAAAGTCACTGGTATGAAAGAAAGTCAAATATTTCCCAGCGTGCTATATGTTGGTATTAGCTGTAGATGGTTTATCAAATGGTAAGTTTTCAAGTGCTGTCATGATACCATGATGCTAAGTGAGGAGATAATAGATATTGTGCCTGTGATTTCTTTAATTTACGAAAAAAAATTTCCTTTTGGTGAGTGAAAATAAACATGGAAACAGTAAACTACCCTTTGAGGTCTTGTAAAATTATTTTTTAAATTTTCAGAGAGCAAACCTTCTCATAGGTGTTTTCCTTCATTATCCTAGGTTAACTCCTGTTTCTTATTACCAGCTATGTACCTTAATACATCCACAATGAAGACACAGAATAAATCCTAATAGTTCACTAGCAAAGATAAACCCCCTCCTTAATCTAAACAGAGACTTCTTTACTCTGTTCTGCGGAATTCCAGAGGGATGGTTTCAACTCTTTAAGAACTTTTGGAAGAACCACAGAAACATGTGTCCATGTCGAATGCTCTCAGGTGCACCATTTTGTGGTTTTCCCTCTCAGTTCCAGTCCTTTATATGCAGGGCACTGAAATAGTTAAGTTCCAAGTGTATGAAAATGATTTCATAACTGCAGACTTTTATAAAAGGCTGGGATGTGGGATTTCTACATCTGCTAATGGATTTTGTGGCTGTAATGCTGTGGCAATCCACAAGGCTCTCGTTATGTGGCAGCTTAAGTTCAAATAACACAATCCTCCTTGTATTAGTGAAATGTCTTTAAAAATTCCTAAAACTAATACAATATTTCATTAGATTTCTAATCTGCATTGAGTAAATCTGTATTTTAAGTTTGAAAAGATAAGTGGTACTTGACATTTGCCTTGCAATTATGTGCACATATCAAATGATTTATCAGATGATACCATTCCACAAGATGATCTTTTTTGTTTTGGTGTAACACTTTCAGCTTTTAAAAGGTGTGCTTTGCTTTTCTGGCTTTTTTCCCCACAATTATTCTTTCCCTTTTAACTTTTCTTTCTTTTACACAAATGGAATGCATTGGGAAAAGCCTAAAATTTGTTTTCACTCAGCTCCTATTTACATACTAAAATTGCTCTTTTTTTTCTTTTAAACGGTAAGTTATGTAATGTGTTTGTGCAACTACACATAGCAATGGACAGACAGTGATATTCTGCTTGCTGATAATTTATGTCCTGTGAAAACTATTTAACACCAGTTTCTGATACTTCAAAGACATCATACAGCTTTCGTGGCAGCAGTGAGGCAGCTTTTGCTCAGAAATTAGGTGGCAAAAAATGGTGCTGCTTTGCATCAGAGATCTGTAAGAACATATAGCTGTCCTTGCAGCGTACTATCCAATTCTTTACTTACAAAGTGTTTTAGCAATAGAGAGATCGTAAGTATAAAACTATGAATAGCACAGAATAATTTTACTCTCAATATTTCCTCTTTTTTAATTTCAAAGTGACCAACTTACACCTAGGAACAAGAAACAAATAACCAATTGTCTCTTCTGAGGAAGCCAAGTTGTTTGATATTTTTCTCTCTTCCTCCAGCATTACTTTGTTGTAAGCTGGCGGTCTAGTAGGGAAGCTAAAGTTGAGAACAAAGATGTTGAAGTCTATAATTTTATTATCTTTTCCTTTTTATATTCAGGTTTTCCAATCAGAGATGTCTATACAACACTATATAATTTTTTCTAGTTTGCTTATGGTGTGTTTTACTCTGCACTGGTGTCTTGCTTTCTATATAATTATATGGAATATTTCTTAGATTAAAAATAGACATTATTAAATGCATATAGGAAGTTAAGATTGAAGTGGGATATGATACTCAACATTGAAATGTGAAAGTTATCACAGTATTAATATTACTTGATTTTCCTAGAGCCTTTCCTGCTTTTGTGAACCTAAATTGTCCTGTTTGGGTGGGCTCGGTTTTAGAGAGTCTTTCTCCATATTCAACACAAGACTGAAGGGAATGCTTTCATTCACAGATGAAAAAGGTCTATATGCTCTAATGAAAATATCAGGCTAAGGTAAAATATGGAGTGTTTAATGACATGTGACAGGTTCAATAAAAACTCCTTCCTTTAGAAGAGCCCTCTGCTTATAGCCTCCCTCTCTCAAGGACTTCAACGTTTTGGTTTCCTGGAAGTAAAATTTACCCAGGACCACATTTCAATTTGTTAGTTATGGAGACCTGTCTTCTCCATAGACTCTAAAGGGCACTGCCTTCTAATCGATTAAAAAAAAAAAATCAAACCTGAAAGGAACGTAGATTTTTTTTTTTTTTTTTTTTTTTTTTTTTAATGCAACCATTGTTGGCTTTGGGGTCAGGACACACAAGCACCAATTTCAGATAATTTTGGTCTTTGCGGTTTTGGCTGGAATTAATAATAAGACATTATGAAATGCTTAAAAATATATGATCTGCATGTTCTTCGGTTGACCGTCTGCAATCCAGTCAAATAAACACGCTCCCAAGCACATACTCCACTCCTCCTCTCTCTGTCCCTAACAGGCATGTGGTTTCTTTCTTCCTGAGTCCAGTAACAAAATGTTCGTTTATTCAGAGAGCTCTGATGATGGAAATTTGGTATTTTAGGGAGTCGGGGAAGGATGAAAACCATAATGTCTCAATTCTAGTGAGATGAATAAATGGCTTTCCAAATTTGTCTTTTCCTCCTGGGTTCCCTTAAACCACAACTCTCCAGAGATCTGAGAGGTTAACGAGTGTCTGGTCTATAAGCAGGGTAAAAAAAACAAGCTGTGGGCTGGAGGAGAAAATTTTTTACTTCAAGTAACTAAAGCTTGGCTATTGTGAAAAGGAATTGCTATGCTCTCTTGTCCTAGAAAGGTAACGTTTACTCAAATTCCAAGATATTTGAATGAGTACTTGGAACTGACATCTGGAAGGTAGCATGCATATTCTCTTGCTGTATCACTCCAGCATCTTCCAAAGTTTTTAGGAGCAATTTTCAGAATAACTTTGTGGCATGGAGTTGTCCACTATTGTATCTGTATTGCAGCAACTATCCAGCAGTCTCCGATTGCTACTGACAAACTATATATCCAGAGGCTGTGTAAAATATATTGGAATTCTTTAATTCTTAAAACAACTGTAACACCATGTAAATTTACTCCTTTTTTCTTCTTTTCCTACACCCAAGTTTAGATAACTTAATGTATAATTCCTAATCCATGAATTACATATGCGGGTATATGTTGTTTGTTCCTTGTGATTACATCATTTCTTTATCATATTGAGTATTAAATAGGAAAAATCCTTCTAGTGGAAAGAACTGAATTTTCAGTCTAAACAAATGTGGAATATTTTGTTCAATAATGCTTTTTCTGGGATCCAGGTCAAGCTCAATGAAATGGCTAGGTAGCCAAATACCTTCTCATCCAATGAACCTTCTAAATTGATTAAATATCAGGAACTGTTTGTTATGAGGCACCATAGCATGTACAAACAGTCAATATCAACATTCAAAAATCTGAAAACCCAAATGAAGCCCAGTACATCTGGTCTTCAGTTATCGAAGAATTTCATCTTGATATGCTATGATTGGATTTTGAGGGTAAGGTGGCTGAAGGTTTTTCATCTGATTAGTTGATGGTAATACCATGCTATGACGAAGGTGTGGTTTGCCATCTGTCAGCTGTTAGTAAAGAGAGATCATGCTTCCCTAATTAATCTATGAACTTGCTTTTGGATAGTCCGTACAAAGCTACTAAAGAAATGGTTAGTTTTAAAGAAAACCTTTCCAAACTTAAAGGTCAAGATTTCCTCCCTAGCTTTCTAGACACCATAAGCTTTGAAGCAAATTGCTTATGCTAGTTAAATGGTGTTACATGTTTTCCTGGGATAAGTGAATTTGAAGTGCTGAGTTCCTGGCTAATTTCTCCTCCATTCCACTGCCATATCAGGTTCCAGCCTTGCCTGCCAGCTGAGTGGACTGTACTTTCTTTATCCCTTGGATAGCACAGCTCAACATGTTAAGGCCCATGAAGCTGTCAGGTACTCCGTTTCAGCCTGGTAGAAATCTATTCTTTAATGCCATCTTACATTTGCAGGATTTATTCCAGAGAACATTCTAACGTGTCAGACCCGTGTTTTCTCATTGAGCTCAGATCCATCTTTGGGAATTATTCAGATCAAAATGTCCTTTCTCTCTCCCTTCCTCTCCCAGTACTTCTTAGGCACCAGGGAGGAGTTTTGGCCTCCCCGTCCCTGGATAATACTCTGTGCTGCCCAGCCTTGTACGTGTTATAGTTCCTTGGGCCTGACTAGGTGCCATTATCACCTACGTAGATGGCTATAGTTTCCCTAATTTCACAATTCTATGTCATGACATGAAGCACTGAAAGGATAGAAATTTT